TAATTTCTGTACTATAAATATTAAATAGTGACCTGTACCTTCGCGTAATTCAAGTGCATTCGTGGGTGTACTTTGAATTAATAATGTTATATACAGGTGGCACTACAATTTGGCTAATGTTATTAATAACAGTCTTTGTATTACTGTTTCTACCTGCATACAAAATTTCATGCAAATCTGTCCAGCCATGTCAGCGCAAACGTGTAACAAACATACACACACGCATTTAATCTTTCGCATTTAAAATCGCAGTGTGGTTGTTGGGAGAGTCTAATTTCTAGCTAATTATCTATATTAATATTATAAAGAGGAAAGGTTTTTTGTGTTTGTTTGTACCGAATAAGCTCCAAACCCACTGAACCGAATTAGATGAAATATAGTAAGAAGAGAGTTTGGACCCTGGAAAGGACATAAGATAATTTTTATCAAATTCAAAATATTTAAATCAGCATTCATTTTATTTTTTACTGAACGTCATGAGTCTACTACCAGTTAACCCTGAAATCATCCCTTAAGGGGGTAAAATAAGGATGAAAGTTTGTATGTGGAATCAACGTTATACGAAGAATGAGCCGCTAGTCTATACATATTATAATAAAATTCTAAGTCGAATCTGTACATTAAATATTTTTTGGAAAATCTTATTGAAATAGTCATTATTATCGATACAGAGGCCGAATCAACAGTTTTTAGAATTTTTGTCTGTCTGTTACCGATCACGAGAAAACCACTGGACAGATTTTGATGAAATTTGGGCAACATATATAAGGATACTTTTTACTGCTGGTAAATATCTTATCTCTGAGAAATCTATATTAAACGCTAGCACGTAACTAGAGACGAACGAAGCGAGGGTGAGTCGCTTGTATATTATAATTCGCTTCTAATAAGTAGATTAATACGAATCGATTCAATAATAAACTCAGCACAAAGTAAAATGGTAGTATATTGAATATTTTGAACGTGAAATTGACTTCCCAATGATGAGTGAAACATTTGCATACGATTGAATTTCCTCGCATAAATTTAATGATAAAATAATTAATGTTTTACAAGTCACGACAAACACGACCACGTTACGACTGTTTTTTAAAATATAATGATTTATATCTTTATGTACCAATAAAACAGCCTATCAATTCAATTTTTAGTTTTGTAGCTTTTAGGTGTGCCAATTATGCACAGTTTACAATAAATAATAAAAGTTTTATCAAATAGAGCTGCTGTATAGAAAGCTCTAGTTTATTACGAAAATGCTCTTCTAATGCTCAATTACCTATACCAATGTTCAACTAGAGGTCCAAATTCGAACATAAGCGTTATTGAAAATTTGATGAATATATTATATATATATATATATATATATATATATATATATATATATATATATATATATATGTATAGTATTTACCTATCTAAGCATACAATTAATTTGTTCCCATTTTTATTAATAACACCAAAGCTCGTCAATAACTACTAAATAAAAAAACGGTTGACAAACAGAGAAGAAAAAGGGTGATGCTATTGTAGAATAAAACGAGAACATCGTATCGGCTATTATAAATCTGCCAAATATTTAGTATATTGTATTAAAATACCAATTTTGTGCCAGTAATTATTTTAAAGGCCAAGCGATTTATAATATTGCAGTGACATTTAATAACTCAGTATCCTATCATAATCCTTTTCAAATAACAAGGTTAATACAAATATTTATTTTGGATCCAATTTAAAAACTGTAGATCGTCCGTTGACATGACATAATCTATACTAATATTATAAAGAGGTAAATAGTGACTTTTAAGTTTGTGAGGTTGTAGGGTGTAATCTCTGGATCTACTGAACCGATTTAAATGAAATTTGGTAAGAAGATAGTTTGAGACCCAGGGAACGATATAGAACTTTTTATCCCGGAAATCATCCCTTAAATGAATGAAAGTTTGTATGGGGAATCAACCGGTAACCGGAACAGTAGCTAGTGGTATCATATAAGCCGTTTTATTATTTTTATAACTAGTAACACACCCTCGCTACGCTGTGCTTTATGCGAATTGATACAAAACATCGATTTTTCCTTATATTATATGTATACAATTCGTCGAAAGGTAGATCAGAATCGTCTTTTGGCAAATTTTACCTAACAGTGGCCTAAATATTCCAGGTCATAGCCTATCTGTATACTAAATATCTTTCGAATCTCTCTAGCCATTTGAGCGTGAATGAGAAAAAACATTCACACACAAATACAAGGTGTACGCACACACGCAATGTTTATTGTTATGTAGTAAAATATTATGCCATTATACGAAAAAAATTATTGATTCTGGCTACGACGGCCAATCTCACTGATACTAGCCAGATGCGCAGGAGATATTATAGAGAATCTTTGGGTTGGGACGATTGTTGGGACGATACTTCAACAAGACCGGTGAGAGTTAAGTTTGGATCGATGGCTTTACTCGCTCTGCGAGGTACGGGGATGAAACACCGCCAACTTCCAATTCCGAGCTGTTACTGAGAATATATTAACAGAAAGACTCAATAACTGAACTTGGCCCTCCCAGGAGTCGAAACCTGGACCGCTAGCCACTATACCACTGAAACAGTTAAAATACCGATAATAACTGTTAAATTACACATAAACGAGTATTAATCAAGTAAGCGAGCCTACAAAATACATTTAAACTTGATCTACAAATTTGATGCCTGCCACAATTTCTATTTCAATGTTAGAACGATGGAATTGGTCGATCAAATCACATTATTCGTATACTCGTACTAGCTTCTATCTACTTCATTAATTTAGGTTGTTATTTAATGCAAAGCAGTTGTAGGTTATTGGTAATATTCTCGCTTAAAACAATAAGTACAATGGGTTCGATCCGGAGTCTCGCAGGCTTGAGACCATATTTGAATCTCTTTTTATAGCTCATATTTGCTAATATCATGAAAGAACACAATAAGAAACAAGAATAACTAGTCATTTAAAAACGTGCTAAGACGTGTAATAGATTTTTTTTTTTTTATTATAGTATAATATAATAAATCTGGAAATCCATATTGATTTATTTTTATTTCAAGCGGCTTTGGATCTAAGAAGTGACGTCTGATTTTTCTCTTAAAAGTAGTTTATGGACCAGATAATGTCCTGTCACAAAGTGATTGCTGTATATAAAATTGCATATACCTAGTTCTGAGAAATTTGGCTAACACATTTAAAACTCTTATAGGAATGAGCTGAACTGTTGAACTATTGATACAAATATATTTATATACTAAGTTAGGACAATAATGTTATCATTATACACTGAACCAATATTGTCTCCAACGATCATCGCCATATTAGGTCCATGTATATGTCACTGTATGAATAAACGTCATTCCTCTCTAAAATTAAGGCTTTGAACGTAAGCAATTAAGTTAAAACCGACAATCAGCGCATGCATCGAGGCAATATCGTGATGCATTCTGCTAAAAGTAGCTAATATGTGTTTAATTGCACGGTAATCGCTCGCAGTCTACGTGCATATGAAATAAAAGATCATGTAAGTAATACTTAGATATTTTTTATTACCTAATATGATAAATGGGTGGTTCTACATTCTTTAAATGGATATTAATCTATCCATTACAAGAAATTGATATATTCCATCTTTTCTTTTACTTGCATAACTAACAACATTTTCTCATCACTTTTCTTCGAAATATTTCGAAATAGTGATATTCTAGTTTTTTAACGTTTTTGTTTTAACCATTCACACTTTCCACTCGTGCTGTTTACTTACTTCAAAAAAGAAATTCATGATTTGAATTGCCTCGCTGGATTAGTGGCTAGTATTTATGGTTGCAGATCGCATCCTGGGTTTGAGTTCCGGGTCAGGCCAAATTCAGTTATTGTGCTTTTCTGTCAAGAATTTCCCAGTAATGGAACAGAATAAAAAATTGGTAGCCTGTTGCCTTTGGGAACATGTAATATCATCGGTAATGATCTGAACTCTTACCAGTTGTGACGAATTGTCATCCCACTAGAATTTTAGGGTAGAAGGAATAGAATATAAACTGGTGTATGGTGCTGTGTCCTCCTGACCTATGTAGACCACAGTGACCAATCTCACGTAGACTAGCCATTTACGCAAGAGATATTATTCTAATGGCAACCGTAACCAAAATAGGTCAGTAGACGATTTATTATAAGGTCAAAATTTTAACCCTTCAAATTCAGTGGTTTGGTATGAATATAACTACAACTACACTATTTTTAAATATAAGATTCTAGAAAATGTCGAAGAAATAAATAAAATAAATAAATCAAAACAATCCGAATGGATCAGGACAAGTAATCGGACTACTATTATAAACGCGATAGTTTGTATGTGCATGTTTATGTCTGTCACTCTTTCACGTTAAAACGGCTGAACAGTTTTGCGCAAAATTTAGTACACAGATAGACTGCCATAGATTAGGTAGTGTTGAGTTAGTAAAAATATTTTTTAAGCTTGGGAAATGTCACAGGATGCACTTGGGATACATATGGGATTGGGATAGACTTATCCAAGGCCTTTGTTTCTATGCATCATAAGACATTGATCAAGAAACTGCATCACTATGGTGTTAAATAATGTACTCGACCATCTGAATTCGTATATAAATAATAGAATACAGAGGATTCATGTAAATGGTAAGAGATCTCCTAGGGTTTCATTAGATATGGGGGTTCCACAAAGGTTTATTCTTAGCCTCTTTCTCTTCCTAAGAGATTTTAAAAGAGATAAGAAAATAATGTCAGTCCCGATAGGCTGCTTTAGCCAGTTCTTTTCAGGTCTGAGGTTTTTTCCGAAATAATGTCAAACTCATGACGTTCAGTAAAAAATTGTAATAATTTATTGCTGAATAATATATTTTGAATTGAATTATAGGTACATAAGCCTATTGTAAGAAACCAAGCTTGTATTGTTATAGAAAGTAATAAGATAGTTTATTTACTATTCCTTTATTTACAGAGTGGTGGGGAGCTCGTACCTTTTGCTGTGACACCGACGAGTGTAATAGCGCTTTCACACGAAGTCCTGCGATCGCTCTTATCGCACTAGCGATCGTTCTCGTCTTCGCGCGCTGACCGCACTGTAACATATAGTTATAATTTAAATTATTTTTGCATAAAACTTTTACTTATATTAGTTATTCTAAGCTGAAGCACTTTTTGTTCATAGAAGTTATAATTGTTAATAGTTTCCTAGATGTGTTCTGCCTTAAAATGCTTTTCGAGAACGCACATTAGGTATGTTACAAAATACAATATTGTATTTTTTTTGTAAACTTACTGTTATTTTGGCTCTAACCATTAAAAAATAAGTCAGTTTTATAAATACTCTGTACTTAGATAGACAGGTAGGTTAGAAATTCTGTGTAGTTTCTTCTGCAGGTAGGAAAATAGTATTAAAATTGTGATTTGGTTCTTCACCGCTTCAACACACCAAATAAAATTAATAGTATGTGGCTGTTATGATAAGATACTAGTAAATATTATTATCAATAATTTTATTTTATTAATCCCCATATTTTATTGGAAAATGTAGAAAACAAATATATATGAGAAGAATTGATGTACCTGACTAGAGTCAGTGGATTCGATGTCCGCTCAAAGTAAATATTTACTGGCTATACAAATCTTATGTATTTTCTAATAAGAAAAACTTCAATAATATAAAAATATTAAAATATGCTGTGTATTTACAAAATTTCATAACATCGACTACGACATAATATGAGCTGTAAGCCTGTAAGTCTTTAAATTTTCATGGTCACTGATAAAATTCTTATGAAGTAAAACGGTATATATACATATAATAAAATTCTAACTGAGTCGAATCTGTACATTAAATATTTTTTGGCAAAACTTATTGAAATAGTCATATTATCGACACAGAGGCTGAATATATAGTTTTTAGAATTTTTCTCTGTCTGTCTGTCTGTCTTTGACCGCATCATGTGAAAACCTCTGGACAGATTTTGATGAAATTTGGTATGATAATATCTGTGTATCTTAGTCAACATATAGGATACTCTTTTCTGCGAGAAAATATCTCATCTCTGAGAAATCTATACTAAACTTTAAAACGTGAACCCGAGCGGAGCGAGGGTGAGTCCCTAGTATTTACTATATTTTCACTTATTTCCATGAATATCCCATATCCATGCATGCAGGCCATGTGTAAATCCATACCGAAATTCCATAACATATACCATAGTAAATATCTCATTTTACATTGCAGGATGCATTTTAATCGGACATTCGATGCAATTAATCATCTTAAATCAATTTTGTAAGTTCATAATGATTGACTCTGAGAGCTATTGTTCTATATTTGCGAACAACAATGGAAAAGGAAGCAATTTTCGAGAACTCTTTAATAGAGTGCCATTTTATAATAAGAAATAAAGGGTATTCATTGTGAAAGTTTTATCCTATTCTAGCTTATATCCGTGGGAATGCTTGTGATATTTAAAAATGTTGTTATGACCATCAAAAGATAGTGACATTTTTGGAGGATAAGCCCAGGTATCGATACATTATAAAAAAAATGAAAAGGATACTTATTTTGACCACATAGCTCAACTACCAAATGCTCAAATACCTGACTCCGCAAAATAATCTGAAAATATAGTTATTTAAAATATCAAATATTCCTGTAACTCTAAAAAAGTATTACTTGACTAAGTTGATTGAGTATATGTTGACCCGGATAACCAGCCATCACACCAAATTTCATCAAAATCAGACAAACAAAAATTCTAAAAACTGTAGATTTGGCCTGTATCGATATTAATGACTATTCCAATGACATTTTTCAAAAATATTTAATGTACAGATTAAACTCAGAATTTTATTATAATATATTGATTATTTAAAATTTTAACTAATTATATTCACTTGTATCTTAAAATTAAAAAATATATAACATTAAAAACCAATACACCCAAATTCATCGCCATTTTAGTTCAACTCATGTGGCACGTACTATTTCCACAGATAAAAAAGCAATCAATTTTTATTAGTATTTGTGTACCTTAACGTACTTTATTTAAAAATAATGAAAAAACTTAAAACATTTAAAATATATAGTAATTGGTTTTTCATTCAAAGTTCTTAGCCTTCGCCAACATTTCAATCGATACCGCTAAGTTAAAGAAAATTAAAAATATATGAGAATGACATGTTCTGATAAGAAACGACAGAAATGACGCAAAATCGCCAAGAGTAGGGTACAAGTATCAGAAGGGCTAAACCCAAATAGGGAAAAAGCCAAGGGATTGATTGATTGATCATGTTCTGATGGGACTCTGTTTAAATGAGTGTGTCATTCCCATACATTTAAACGGCTCATATTAACTAAATCTTATAGTTCGATCTTCGAATTCTAATATCTTACGGTCCTACGGCGAAGGGAAACATCGTTAAGAAACCTTCATGTCTGAGAAAACCTAGCAAGTTTTCGAAAGACATGTGAAGTCCGCCCCACGCTTGGCCAGCGTGGTGGACTATGGCCTGATCCCCCGTTTAAAGGGAGGCCCATGCCCAGCAGTGGGACGTTAAAAAGGGTTAAATACACATTCTTCTAATATTCGAACCGATTTAAAATTTTGTAACTATGTGAGAATCGAATGACAATATTATCGACCTCATCTGATGATGATAATGATAACGCTCTGAAAAGTAGATAATTTAATTCGTTTTGACCAGTCTCATACATAGCTTATCATAAGCGACTTTTATCAATTTTTTAGAACTATAGTTATCAATTTGTTAATGATTGCAATTCTAGATTATCAACTTTACTAAGCTATTAACCTGTCTATATATCAGTATTTCTTAAATTGATTTTTATTCTATCAAAGTTAAACGAGAAAGTCAATTAAGTTGTTAATCTGAGTTTGAGGGAATTTGAATTAGATTTTAAACTCTGAAAAATTTTAAGCCGCGCTAAGCTGTTTGTGAGCCACTTTATCTTTCAATTCAATTTAAAACTACGTTTTTAATTCGTGTTAATGATTGAGTATATACTCGTAATAATTGTATATGTAAAAATTGCTTAAATAAAAAGTATTTACATATTGTTATTGCAAATAATTAAAAATATATATCTTTTCTTTTGTTTCAAGATAAATAATTTACTATTTATTTATTCTCAAAAGCAATTTATGCAAAAATTAAAGTTTCATCAAAATAAACTTAGTAAGCTTTCTAACTCTTTATTATTCGCTTTATATAATTTAAAACTTTAAAACATTAGAAGTGAATCGCTTTAATATTGTGATTATTTTTATATATTAAATATTATAGTATATTCAAACTATTTGTTACGGCTGGTATACACTATTAAAATGCCTATGTTAGCTGGCAAAGTAGTATCTTTAAATTAAATAAATATCGTTTTATTGGTTTTTGATCTTTAACGCAACTATGTATCGGTTAAAAAAGTACTAGATGCACAGTCCCATGCAAAAGTTCTCTTAAAACTGTCACCGATTGTGTTTAGGTAATTATTCTAGTTGAAATAAATACACAACATTGTAAAGTGAACCAAATGAATTAACGGTAATGCCTAAAGTTGTTTCCAAAAATAATTAAAAGCGAGCTCAAATGTTCAAAAGAGCGCTCATTCGGTGAGGACATTTTGTGTCCCTGATTGTGTATCTAGTACTTTTTTGATCGATGCAACTATGATATGAATAAATCATAATTATTTTTGCTTTTATAATAGTGTACACCGTCATTTAAAATATCAATTGTGCTTCTGATTAAGAAATTATTTCGCTTTAACATTCTATTTTTATACAGGGTGGAACAAATCGATGGGGCATGGAAGAAAAGTACCTTCAAGATTGAAGTTATCAAATTCTATTACAATATAAAGGAATAAGAGTCAAAATGTATAAATTGTAAGATTTCATGGTTTTTTTTAATTGTAATATACAATGTTTGCTTGAGAGATTTTATCCGTACTATAGTCCCTATCGGTTAGTTCAATAAAATAGTGAAGTCGAATTTTACTGTATTTTTAGTTGGTTCGATTACCACTTCAGGAAAGCTTCTTTTAAAAAAAATATATTAAATTTATTATATTTTTTTGGATAGAGAAAGATTTCCTTTGAGTAAAACTTGATAACTGCAATATTTAAAGTACTTTTCTTCCATGTCCCATCGATTTGTTCCAACCTGTATATGTAAAACAATTATTTAGCTGTCTGTATTTTCTATACTATATAAGTAGATTAGTCAAACATTATAGATAAATATTTTCAAAGTAACATGTAATTATAACACTTTAAGGCCCAGCACACACGACCGATTATAGTCGGTGCGACAGTCGAAAGTGAACGTTAAATTAATACTTTAATGAGAACATTTTACCACAGAACGTTTCAAAAGTTAGAGCTAAAATTAATTTTCTACGATTTAATTCATTTTCAAAGTTATATTGGAGATAAGTATAGTATACGAATGAAAAAAATATAATAGAGATTGCATATCTTTTAGCCAGCCGGTAATAAAGATTGATTAATTTACTTAAAAATATAAAAAAAAACTGCAAAGAGTGTTATCTTTATTTTTGTTTAATAAAAGAAAAAATATCGATTTTATTCAATGGGATTTTGTTAATCATATTTTTATATGTGACAAGCTTACTCTAGTGTACTATTTTCTACTTCTATAGTTGTAAAATAAAAATAAAAGATTATCTTTCACTATATTATTATGACAAATTGACAGATAAATAATTAATTAAGAAAAAAGAGATGGTACGGCAATTTCTTCAATGTTAGATATAAGTTGGATTTTGATTAAAATCGGTCGTCTGCGCGCGGCCTAAACGAACGCTTTATAGATATTACCACTTATGTACATCAAGAAACTGAATTATTCTAAATTATCATTAAAATAGAAAATATAGTTGATAAGTTATTTTAAGTCACTAAATATAAAATTGACATTTTTAAATCGGCACTTTGTTAATTCAATGAACGCTTATAAATAATCTATAATTGTTATAATTTATTGTATTTGCTGTAAATTGAGTGTTGGTTACACCATTACGATATTTATTTTATCTT